GCTTGAGCCTGAACAACTAAAGCCCGTAATAGGGTTTGGGGTTGAGGGTTGAGGGTTGAGGGTTGAGGGTTGAGGGTTGAGGGTTTAGGGTTTAGGGTTTAGGGTTGAGGGTTTGGGGTTCAGGGTTGAGGGTTTAGGGTTCAAGGTTTAGGGTTGCGGGATTCGGGTTCATGGTTGAGGACTAGGTTTCTGGGTTGAGGGATGCTGAGGGTTTAGGGTTCGGGGTTGCGGGGTTTAGGGGAGCCCCGGCGTGTGGTAAGTGTAAGAGCCTTTAAAACCCCGGCCAGAAACAATCGGCGACTACCCGTTGTCGCATCGCTCAGCCACACTATCCTGGACTTAAATGCCAGGTTGCCCCACAGGGCTGAGGACACATGCCCCAGCAGTGCGTCCAGCTAGGGTTTTCGGGACCCAGCAAGAAGTTTTCTATGAAGTTTGGACAACCATTTTCTCCAATGAAGATCACAACTTTTACTATGAAGTTTTAGTAGCGTTATGGTTGAAATCTATAATCAGGGTTTTTCGGGCCCACATAACTTGGGCGAATGTTTGTTTGTCAAACAAAGTTCAAGAATTTCTCTATGAAGGACAACAAGTTTGTCGAATGAAGATCACAACTTTTACTATGAAGTTTTATTAGCGTTTTGGTTGAAATCTATAATCAGGTTTTTTCGGGCGTAGGTTCAGGTTCTATGGGTTCTAAGACATGGGGCTGCTATGTTTCGAGCCGTTGTATAAGTTTCGGATTTAGAAGCTAAGCCTAAACCCCTAAACCCCTAAACCCCAAAAACTAAACCCTGAACCCTAACCCCTAAACCCTAAAACGTTGCACTTGATATAGAAGCTTAAGCTACACACAACGACCTTCAAAAACCCAAGCTGCAGCACTGCAAAACCCCATCACCTGAGGATCTCGATCACACGGACGGCAGGGATGCCGTTGAGGCCTGTCTTTTCGGGCCCTTCTTCGAGGTCTTTGAAGATGTAGACTTGGAAGGGGTGCCAGCCGCAACCACAGCCATAGCATCGGACATAGACTTGATCTTGCTTGTCACCTCACTCATCGAGGAGATCTTCGGACCGAGTTGCAAACAGAATTGGCACAGTTTGCTGTGGTAGTCCATCCCGTACATTTTCTTTAGCTTTGCCGTTTCTTTGGCACTCAGTGCCGCGACCTTGGCTTGACTAAAAAACTCGACATCGGCGTACATAGCAACGATCTCCGTTCTCAAAGTGCGGTACTGCTGGGCGAAATCCTTCGCCCAAGTCCAAGCAGACGGGTCGGCACCCATAGAGGCTGCGATCTTCGACATCACGTTGTCGCTTTCGGCCTCGAGGGCTAAGAAGTCTTTCACTTCCCGCTCCTTCTTGCCGGTGGGGTTGCCACCACCTTTCTTTGGCTTCTTAGAAGCCGGCTGATCATCTCCAGGATTTGCACCATCTTGCTCATCAGTGGCAGCTGTGGCTGCCTTGCCAGCATCGGTCAAACCCATAGGATCATCGGTGCCTTTGCTAGCCTTAGCTTTGCCCTTAGCCTTGGCTTTTGCAGCACCCGGTGCAGGTGCTGGCTTCTCCGGCGATGTCTGCTTGCCTGCGGAGCCATCGCCGCCGGGCTGGGGGAAGGCGGCCGGGGTTGAATCGTAGAGTTTTGCGTATCCACGGATGCCGAGGGCCGTCTTGTCAAGCATGGCCGTCGTCACGTCCTTCACCTGAATCTTCTGCTCTACAGCAAACACTCGGGCCGCTCTGCAAAACTCAGCCTTCTCACTCCAGCTACCCGCGATGGGGCTGTCCTGCTCCACCGTCACCTCGTTCACCCAAGCCGTTTCGGAAGACGAGGACACCAGGCTCTCGACCCACAGGAACGTGTCGGCCTTCAGCCAGTCGTTGAACATGTAGCAGAATGCCTGTAGGATCGAGGGAAGTGGCTCTGGGGTTTAAGGGGATTGAAGATTTCAGCATTTAGGTTTTGGGAACATAGCAAGTTTAGGGCTGAAGCGGTTTTGGGTTTAAGGTCTTAAGTTTTGGGGCCAAAGCAGGTGTAGGATTGAAGGGGTCTAGGGCTTCAGGGGTTTAGGTTATTTTTGTGCATGGGTTATTTTATCATAGGGTTTGTTGTGCTCCAAAATTTAAAGTTTCTGGAATCCCAGCCTTCAAATCGGGCCTCAAGCACATGGACACGTAGTTCTTCGCCTGAAGAACCGCTTCGGGCTTGTCCGATCCGCCCAGGACCTGTTCCAGCTGTAGCTGGGTTTTGAAAACCCCGAGGTCTTCTTTGCGGCGTCTGTAGCTGTTTGTTGTTGTCCTGCGAACAGTCACAAACTCGAAGTCTCGCGAACAGCTCCAGGCGGCTCGGAAGGCGATCTTTTCGGCATCCAAGAGGACATTGTACAACTCCCGAACGTCCGGGCGATGTTTTAATGCCCGTTGCAAGGCCTGTCCGGCCGCACCTCTGGCCGTGAGATTTGTCTTAAGCGTAGCCCAAAACACCTGGCCCTTCTCATGCCCCTTCACCATTTCCTCGGAGACCTGCTCGATCGGGAGGCCGTGGTGCTCGGCATAGTTGGTCCTCGCCTCCATCATGGAAGAGTCCGTGAGCTTCACATCTTGATCCGGAGCTTTCCCAGGCTGCTTCTCGGCTTCCAAGGATTTCTCAGGGCTCGTGTGCTGCTTGTCGGCTTCCAAGGATTTCTGAGGGCTCGTGTCCGAAGACTCTGAAGGTGTTGCCGAAGGTGTTGAGGTTGGCTCGGGGTTCGAAGGAGGAGGCGAGCTGACTACTTGCGTGGCAGCATAGGCATCGAGGCTCAGGGTCGGGGCTGTTGTCAGGGCCATGGCAGCAGCCACGTCTTCGGCCTCCTTGGCCCATTGGGATGCCTGGGTATCAACAGAATCCTCTGCAGACATTCTGTCTGTGGGATCAAATCCTACAGCTATATATCGAGCTACTCTAGACGGCAAAATGCCAGCAGCTTCACCTGCATAGGTTTGAGTAGATCACGACAGCCGCCGGCAATGTTCAGTTTCCAGATCCCTTAGATATAATTGATAGATGATAGTAAACTATTATATATGCTATATAGTAATTTGAATATATATAGTGTTGTAGATATCGCTATATAGATAGCCCAGCACACGATTAGGATCTAGAATCGGCCACTACGTAATTGTAACTTTAGATTTATAACAGCAACAATAGCCACCACCCGGAAGGGGTCTAGAACCCGATGCGTATCCAGATCCACTATGTCACTATGTGCGACAATTGCTAGGGTTTAGATCGAGGAGTGTTGGGGAGATACTTATAAGTTTCTAGTCTTTAGATTGACACCAACCACTACAAAAGGGAAGGATCCAGAAACCGCTGCGTATCCAGATCCCGTAGGTGCCACAAGTGTTGGGGTTACCATAGAGGATATCAGGAGTTTAGGTGAGGTAAGTTTCTAGTCTTTAGATTAACACAAACCACGACAAGCAGAGGATCTAGAAGCCTCTGCGTATCTAGATTCAATACTATTTTAGGGCGTGGTGGTTTTGGGGGGATGAGTTTCTGGTTTCTAGATTGACAAAACCAGACACGACTATAGGGTCCAGAATCGACTGCGTATCCACATCCACTCGGCGAAACACTTGCCTGGCTATACATTAATAATTAAGGGCGAGTTCTGTAGCATTGGGGGTTGTGAGTTTCTAGTCTTTAGATTGACACAAACCAGCACATTACGGATCTAGGATGTCATAGCGTATCCAGATCTTTAATAATTTCTCTACACACATCAAATTTCGGCTTGCGGAAAGCTTGGAATCAGGGCCTAGATACCTCATCGGGGGGCTCATCGGGGATCT